GTAAATTAATAAGAGTTAACAAACTCATTGGTTATGAGATTGAGCTTGTGGTTAAGAAAATTTGGTTAATAAAGTGTGAAATTAGAAGTTGAAAGTGTTTATTTTGATGATTATCAGTGATGGTGGTTAATCCAAATTATATATTAATCTCGTGAAGCATCAAAGAGCTTGAGTTTACCTCTGACGCAAGTGATATTTGTGGATAACATTTGAATTTCCAAAAAATTGAGGTAACTAGGGGAATCTATTTGTTATTGCTTGTTAAATTAATTATAAGTGTTTGTGAACTTTGAAACTATATTTACTTTATGTATTTATATGTTGTTTTCATTTTTGAAAATAGGCAAGTATGGCTTTATATATTTATGTAATTGTGAAATATTAAAATGATGACTTTCACTTCTTGAAATTAGAAGAGTTACTAATGAAGATGGGTATGATGATGATAATTGAATATGTTATGTGATGAGTTGGCATGATCATATTGATGGTAGGAGTTCGCCTTAATGGAGTAGTGATTTATATCTATATGAATCACACTATCATCATGAAGCCTCAATGTTTAGTTCCTTACTATACTCTTAAACCCCGCCTAGCAAAGGTGGTAATTGGGCCTAATAAACTCCAACTAGTGAGGTTAGCTAGAGGGTTTTGTGACATTCTTATGTTTAAGTTGGGGGAAATTTATGGTTTGAAAATAAGTGTAAGGCCTTATTGAATTACCTCTCATGATTGGAGAGTTTGGGCTAACCTAATCACATGGGCTAATTCCTAATTAGTTTGTAGCCCATGGATTCAATCAACAATGATGGAGGTTTAGAGAAAATGGATGATCATGCCTTGCATTGTGAATTGTGATTAATGATGTTAATTTTTTTTATTATTGCCCACTTTGTATATTTTTGATTATTTGACTTGTATGAGCATGTTTTAGAGTACCTTAATTATCAAGTGATTGTACTCACTTCTCATTTAATGTTTATAGATGGTAGCTCTAGTCAAGATAAGGAAAAGGCAATTGAGGTTTAGGAACTCAGCTTCCTACTATATAACCTTGCTTTTTAAATAATTTATGTGTAATTGCTATGATATTGCCAACTATAATGATTATTTTGATTACTTGTACCATCATATGCATTTATGGTTAATTGTTAGTATTTTTTACCCTAGGTCATGCTGTATGAATCATTCATGTTTTATTAAACTAAAATACAAGTGCAAATATGTCATGAGTTATTTTTTAAAGGTTGTAAATGGTTACTTAGTGGATTGAATGATGTTTACCTCCCCCTTACTTTTTGATAAAATCGAGGTTAATGGGTGAAAATGAGATCTTGATTGTATTTGTGTGTTGTAATGTGTTGCACAGGTTGTCTTAAGTCATTTGAGTATGATTTAGGTGGTTGTGTGAGCTATTGTCACTTGGAATGAGTTTTGAAGACCCACTTGTGAAAAAAGTATTTAAATGCTACTAGTTCGTGTTTGGGTGTATAACTCTTTAGAATAAAATAATTTAAAAATGAAATTAGTATCATTAGTTAATTCATTGAATAAGCTTTCAATGGACACTCAAATCACCTTAGTCGAATGTCGGATGTAGATTTGGAGCTCATTGAAAGTTTAGCCTTAGATCTATCATATAACAACTTATTACTATTCACAACAGCAATGTTGAGTAGTTGAACAATGCTCATAGGGCAGGAGGCCCGATGGCAAGGTGGACTTCGGCAGGCTCACGGTGAAGGAAGGAGACTAAAGAAAATCAAGAACGGTGAGAATGAATCCAAAAGCAAGATTCCATTTTTTGTTTTAAGAAAAAATGAATATCTAGAATTGAAAATGGTAACTCGAGAAAGAGAAAGAGATTTAGGGTTTTTATAATTTTTTATTTTTTTATCTGACCCCTGAGATGACGACATTTTAGGGGCTAAATTTTTTTTAAAAAATATCAACTTGTCTAACGCCACCTAACCTGCGAGGTTAGGTAGGCTAACTCGTGTCAAAAAAATCCACTTCACATTAGAAAACCAGATCGAACACACAGTTGGGTCGCTGGTCTGACAGGCTTGGTCTAGTTTTAAATACAATGTTTATTCGAATATATATTTTGTATATCCTAAAAATTTACACCTTGCTTGATATATTAACATTGAAGGACCTTGTTTAATATATTGACAATGAAAGACCTTGTTTAATTGTCACTAAACTATTAACAACGAAAGATATTGTAACATATTAATAGTAAAGGACCTTGTGCAACATATCAATAGCGAAGGATCTTGCTTAGCTTTTATTTTTTTAATCATAAGGGCAGTATGGTCATTTGAAGCCTCGAATTAAAAGGACTCAATTTGAAATCTCTCCTAAATCCTTCTCAACAAAGTTAAATTTGGTTAAGTCTTTTTTTAGCAACTTTTCCACATTTTAATTCATATTTGTAAACTATAATTTATGTATACTTATACCTAATAAGCAATAAGTATTAGATATGACAAAAATATTGATGGATGTTATCTGTTTTTACTATGTATTATTTTTCTTTGGATTTAAATATTCAATTTTATTGTTATGAATGGTCATTTTATTTTTATTTTAAGTATATTTAATTTAAAAATATATTTATTAATGAAAACTTTCAATGGCAGTTTGAGAATGACAATAAAATACTCTTGAAATATACAAATAATGAATAAGTACTATATTAAAAAATGTGACAATAATTTTTTAGTTCCAATGAACTCGTCTGACATTTTAATTTTATGTGAAATGACATATTTGCCTCTAGCTTAAAAAGAACCCGTAGGTTATAATAATATTAATAATGACCATTGGATTACTGAGTTTTAATTAATATATTCATTAACATTACAGCTAAGGTGACTAGAAAAGATGACTTTGTGAAAGGTCATCCGTTCTAAGATTAATTTCTCACAACTAAAACTAGTACACCAAAAGGTTAAAAAAATGTTTAACCAGGAACCTATGAATCCCATGCAATTCTAACTACCTTGTAGGTGAAATTTTGACCCCAGAAAAAAAAAGAAAAAACTACTTGTAGGCGAATTGGCAATTTAGGTTGCAAATAAAATAAGGTAAGAACGAGCGTTTGGGTAAGTGTGCCGCTGGTAATGTTGGTTAAAGAATGGCAACCATTGTGCTTGCACGTACCCTTAGAAACCAGGAATGATCTTTGATTAATTTTTTAATCACGATAGCAAAGCAATATTATATTATATTTTGTCAGATGCTGATTCTTCCCACTATTTCGACGTTGAAAAGAAAGAGTAAGAAGGGTAAGAATAAGTTTAGTTGGGGAACATCCTCGGTGTTTAATTATTTAATAAGTTAATGCATTCTCATTAAATTATTTAGTCCTACTAGCTAAGTATTTCAGCCGCTAATGAACTCGGCAAAGTTGAATCTCCACTTGGTGCACGCCGTTGCTGTTGTGTAATTAATGCTAGCTTAACCCAGCAATTCACGTGCTTAATTTATACTCCCTCCGTTTTTATATATAATAAAAAAAATTATATCACACAGTTTAAAAAAATTAATTAATTATAATAATTATATTTAAAAATAAAATAATTAAATTAAAATATCTTGTATTAATCAATATAAGTATACATTAATTATTTTTTATTATGTAAATTATAAAGGATGATTTGAAAAATATGTAATTAATGCTTATTAAAATTAGTAATTTTACTTAAAAAAATATAAGTAAAAAGTAATAGTTTCTCTAACAGTACTATATTAATCAAGTGATAATGAAATATTTCATGGGTTACTTTTAACATATTTTATTAAAATTAAAGAACATATTAAACATAATTAATTATCTTAAAATTTAATAAGGATAACAAATTATTTTCCAATATTTAATAAATATAGAAAGGTAAAAATAAATATAAAAATAATAAAATAATTTATAAATAAAATTAAAATTAATCATCTCTCAATCTTATAAACATATCACATGAATTAATCAGAAGTGTAATTAATGACTTATTGAACAAACCCGTGTTGCGGCGCGCTTCTGATGAGTCGGGGGACATTTTCGGACTGTATTGGGCACAGACCTTGCAAAGGAAGAATTGTAGGGAGGAGACGAATGGTTGAACACTGTACGTTGGATGTAAATCACGTGCCTGTCCTAACTTCCCTTCCCGGGGTTGCTGGTCACGTGACAACATCTCTTTTTCTCCCTCCGGCTTCTTTCCCCAAGCTACCCTCTCACTTACTTCCTCCTTGGCCCTTACCATTTTCTTTTTCGTTTTTTTTTCTGAAAATTAAATGAAAAAACAAGAGCCATGATAAAGACCAAGAATTTTTTTTTCCAAATAAGTGTCTTACCATCTTAAAGAACTCTAATTAAAACTATAGCTTCTGTGTCAATGTTTTAAATAAAGCAAGCAGTGAAGTCAGCACAGATATTAACTTCTTTATATATATAAATATACTTATAAGAAATATCTTCATATCGTATCAAATGATTCATAATATCTTGAGCACGTTATAACTCGTATTATTGATGCCAAGAATGGTCATTATTTCTTGAATAACTTTAACACAATCAGTGCATAACTTAATCTTTCTGAACTAATTAGGATGAACAACTTCCCTGTCCATTATATATATGATTGAATGTTTTTAATTAAAGTAGTCATTATTTTTCACTTAGATGTTTTGTTAACAGATTAGCTCTTTTCTTTTGTTTGTTTTAGCAAAACGCACGTTAATACTCATTTATATATAGATTTTAACAGGTGATCAAGTGCTCACAAGTTAATATTGTGTGTGGACTGCGGCGGTTTGGTGAGCAAATGCATCCAGATCAGAACCCACCGGTACAAAAAGCCGAGTCAGTTGACACTATGACTACCTAGCAGTCTTCGGCTCTTCGCTTTAGTCTCCACTCATTTTTTTAATTTATGAAATTTATCAAAAACGCATTATTTTTATAAATCAGTGCTACTATATATTCAGCTTCACTTGCCATTTATTCCATCCAACTTCTCATAAGCCCTGAAACATCGTTAGCTAGCTCCGATACCTCTCCAAGAAAATAAGGTAAACCACAAAAATGGGATCCGAATCTCTTGTCCATGTCTTCCTTGTCTCCTTCCCAGGTCAAGGTCACGTTAACCCTCTTCTCAGGCTCGGCAAGCGCATCGCCTCCAAGGGTCTCCTCGTCACTTTCTGCACCCCTGAAACCTGGGCCAAACAGATGAGAAAAGCCAGCAACATCACCGACGAGCCTGCTCCCATCGGCGACGGCTTCATCCGGTTCGAGTCATTCGACGACCGTTGGCCCGAGGACGAGCCCAGACGCCAGGACCTGGACCAGTATCTTCCCCAGCTCGAGCTCGTCGGCAAGGAGATTCTTCCTCTCATGCTCAAGGCTCACGCCGACCAGGGCCGGCCGGTCTCTTGCCTCATCAACAATCCCTTCATCCCTTGGGTCACAGACGTGGCCGAATCACTTGGCCTCCCTTCTGCTATGCTGTGGGTCCAATCCTGTGCTTGCTTCTCTGCGTATTACCACTATTATCACAAGCTCCTTCCTTTCCCGTCAGAAGATCAGATGGAAATCACCGTGCAGCTCCCGAAGATGCCACTGTTGAAGCACGACGAGATTCCGAGCTTCTTGTATCCGACAACCCCGTACCCTTTTCTAAGAAGAGCAATCATGGGACAGTATAGGAATTTGGAAAAACCTTTCTGCATCCTAATGGACAGCTTCCTAGACCTGGAACACGAGAACGTGGAATACATGTCCAAGATCTGCCCCATTCGAACCGTCGGACCGTTGTTCAAGAACCCGAAGGCTCCCCACAGCACTGTGAAGGGTGACCTGTTGAAAGCTGACGATTGCATCGACTGGCTCAACACGAAACCTCCTTCCTCAGTGGTGTACGTTTCATTCGGCAGCGTGGTGTTCCTGAAGCAGGAGCAAGTGAACGAGATAGCTCATGGGCTTTTGGATTCTGGGGTTTCGTTCATCTGGGTTATGAAGCCACCGCATAAGGATTCTGGGTTCGAGCCTCACGTGCTTCCGGACGGGTTTTTGGAGAAAGTAGGGAACAGAGGGAAGGTAGTTCAGTGGAGCCCGCAGGAACAGATCCTGGCCCACCCATCCGTGGCATGTTTTGTGACTCACTGTGGATGGAACTCCACCATGGAGGCTATAACTTCGGGGATGCCACTGGTGGCGTTTCCTCAGTGGGGGGACCAAGTGACGAATGCTAAATACATAGTTGATGTCTTTAAGGTTGGGGTGAGGATGTGCAGGGGTGAGGCTGCAAATGAGTTGATCACGAGAGAGGAAGTGAAGAGGTGTATTTTGGAGGCTACGGTGGGGAATAAGGCCAAGGAGATGAAGGAGAATGTGTTGAAATTGAAGGCTGCGGCGGAGGCCGCCTTGGCAGAGGGTGGCTCCACTGACCAAAATATTCAGGAATTTGTGGATGAAGTGAAGAAGAGGAGTGTAGAAATTTTGAAGAAGAGTAGCAAGATTGTTGATGGTTCTGTGAACAAGGTGGCGTCACTGTTAAATGTCGCAGGAGCAGATTTGCTTGGTGCCAAGTCGAACGGAAAGGTTCAGGTGGCTTGAAGTTCTCATTATTCCAGCTGAGAAATTGCGTGTGTTAAAAGATATATAATTGTCTGGGGAATGTGTGGATTTCAAGGCTTCCAGTTCTATGTTCTGATTATGATTATTAATTCGGCCTTCACATGTGTCATGGCAACGAAACAATAATAATGTGTATGAATTCTTATAGTTTTATTTCTGTCCAATGAAGAAATTTGCATTATGATCCATCTTGACTCATCAGATCGATCGTCTTGTAGTTATGGCGGGCGAGTCTCCCATGGATCTTTAGGTAGAATAATTTTTTGACTGATACGTATTATAACGATCCGTTCATGATTGTATATATTTAAATCATCTTTAAATAATTATTACTTATACTTTTTAGTTTTTGATAGAGAAATAATGACCCTTTCTATTACAAAAAAGTAAGATATTTTTAATCAAATCTCACCCTCACCCTCAATAAAATAATAATTATCATTTTTTTATATTTACCCTATTTAATGATATATATTATTTTAAAATAAATATAAAATACTTTATATTAAGAGTCCTTTTGAAAGAAAAATATGTTAATTATATTTTAAAATATTAAAAATATGTTACATTTTAAACATCAGACCTTTTAAAAAACATTTTAACCGCCGGAATGGAATCTAACATATGTTGGTTATATTGTGCAGGGCTTGCTGCGCCATGCAACTTTTTGATGAATCCATGAGTTAATGGCATTAATTAATTACAGGCTGCGACGTCATGTTCAATATTATATAATTAGTCATGCACTGCGGAATAATAACTTGGCTCCAAATTAGGGACAGAGTGATGATGTCATGACTAGAATAGATTATAAATTATTAATTAATTATTGTTTGGTTAAAATTAATAATCCAGAATGCCATCCATATACTCCATCGTATCCAAAATATAAGTCTCAAAACTTTCCTGGATCTAAAATATATAAGTACAATTTAATAGTATTTAGGATATTAAATATTTTTTCTTTTGATTTGCCCTTTTTTGCAATTAAATGCAAGAAGAGTTGCCTTTAAATTTAATAAGGATACAAATGGAAAGTAATGTAATTCATTAACAAATTTAATGAGTCAATTACTTTTTAACTCCTTTATCTTAATCCCCGTAAATTAATTAGCCAAACTAGATTTATATTTTGGATTGAAATGAATATAAGTGAGGATTCGGGTAATCTCAAATTGAGGGAGATTAAATTGTGATTCGACAGTGTTGAGGTAAAGACATTTGTTTATTATGTTAAATCAGATATGGTTACCATTGTTCAATTAAGGCTCCATTGGACGAGTGTTCAATGAAGCTTTAAATGTTGCACGTGGATGAGAGGGGAAAATGACATCCACGGACTCTGCGAAAGCAGAGAAATTACACGGAAGGACTTCAATGTTGTAAAATATGATGGCAAAGGACTTGGGTCCTTACTCCTTAGTTGAGCCAGAAAGATTTTTGCCCAAGATGCCTGCCTCTCACTCCTTTTCTTCTCCCTCTCCAATCCCATGCTTTCATTCTCGCATGCTCTTCTTGCATTATTTATATGATAAAGAGAGTATTTATTTTAACGTATTTCAATAATTATTATATCTTTGGTTTTTTACCTTTGTTAAATCCCGAGAAGGTTATTAAATGTTATAATATTTTATTTTTAAAGTATGGTTTTTTTAATGAAAAAGGGATTAAATATTAATAAACTAACTAGAGTGCAAAATGAAGACTACAAACCAAAAGCAAAAAAGCCATGCACCTTTCACCATCCAACTCTCTAAACAAACCTAAAAAGGTTGATGGTTAAAGGAAAAATATACTTAATTAATAAAGATAAACTTAAAAAATTTGTTAATTTTTTGATTGAGTTAATGAAGTTGGTTTTCTTTGATCATACTAAAATATGTCGAAAATAATTTATAAATTGATAGGAAGGAATATTTTCATTTGAAAATTGCCAGTTCTATTTATCAAACTTGTAATGAGAGATGAGGTTTCGTTGGTAACTTCATTGATTGCATTTATACATTTCAGATAATCACCAAGAAATAATTTTTAGTTTATTAGAAACACTAGATCATTAAATTTTAAGTTAGGAATGCCTCTTGTAAATAATGTGGAGGTAATATTAGAGAAAATGAGCTGGAAATCATTAATCAAGAGGAATCGCTGAATATCTAAGAAGCCTAAAAAATATAAATAATAGGACCTCTCACTTGCAGGGATAAAGTGAAGAGGGCAGCGATTCCCACACGCAAGAACGGGCTTTTATTTGTGAAATTAGTTTCAATGGTCATTATATAAATTAAAAACTCTTCATCTTTAGATCATTTAAATTTAATTATCATGATTCATATTTATAATTTTTTAACTAGCATTTTTTAAATAAAAATTATTTTTTAAAAAAACTTACAGTTAAAATATTATTTTTATTATATATTCTGTATATATTAAAATATTTTTTTAAAAAATAAAAGTAAAAAATTATAAATTTATACCATGAACTTTCAACCGAGCACTGAATTTGGTTCTATTATTTGCGGCTCATAAATGCACGTTGCTGTCAAGTATCACCTCAATGTTAAGATTTAAGACAGCCTGCTTATACGGCATTGCTATTTTAACAGCAGTGCATGCGTGGCAAAAATAAAGCATGGTGATCACATTCATTATTTATTTATTTTTTTGGGGGGGGGGGGGGGAGCGACCACGTTGATTTAATATGTTTTGCCAATTCAATTTTACACGGAGTATTTTGCATCTTTGGCTGGTGATTCCAAGGGCTCCTTTCTGTGCTTTGATGAAACGAGTCACGTGAGCTCTTCCGGAATGTAATTTTGTGCCTTGGTGGATATTTCTCAGGCCTTGAAATTACAGGGTGTTCTTACTTTTGCTGATAGTTATGAGTTCGAGTTTAATATTTATTATGAAAGAATCCATAGGATTTGTTTTAACTGTCATAGGGCGTGTCACGTTCATCAGCAGGGTAACAAATCTTTTTCATCGTTTGTCCACCTCTGTCGCAAGATCTTGGTTTTTAAGGCACCTTCATAAGGACTCTGTTCGTGTCAAATTTGACTAGTTTCAATTTCAATATGAAGTTATTGATTGGATAACTCTCCTCCTGCACAATCCAGCTGGGCCAATGAATTTTTTTCACAAGTTCAGAGCATTCGTTTTCATCAGCTTCTGCATGTTCAAGTTCTTGGGTTCTGAAGGTGGAAGACAAAAAATGATGCACTTCACCCGATTACAGGGACAAGTGTTGAGTTGCATGAGGATTGGCACATGCCTTGCTGTCACAAAAGGAAATACTCTGATTTTATGGACGGCTCTGATTTGTTTTCAACTAAGCGTGTTAAATCAGAACAAGAAATCCACTTTGAACCTTCTGATCAAGCTTTTCCGAATGTTTCTTCAGACGTGTCTATTTATGAAGCTAATCAGGTTGATATTTTAACAGTTGGTCATTCACTCATCTCATCTACCTGCCACGTCTCTCCTTCGCCAGAGTTTCTTAGCTCATCAAGGACGTCATTTTTGGATTTCACTGGTCTAACTTCCACATTCACTCGACTACTTTTTACCGCCACTTTTCGTTGAAAAACGGTGGATCGCCTGATCACACCTAAAAAATATTTTAGTACGATTTTGATTTATTGAAAAATACCATTCCATAAAAGCAATAACCTGATGCAGCAAGTATATATACATAATAAATTGGGATAAGTGATAAGTAGCTGAATGAACTAAAAGCACGAGACAAAACGACAGGCACACATAGGTTTATATATCTTCAATACTCCCGCTCAAGTTCAAACTATGTACATCAATTGTTTGGAACTTGCTAAGGAATCTGTCATAAAGCTTCTTTTCTAAAGCTTTGGTTAAGACATCTACTTTTTAATCCCCTGAACGACCATGATGAAGAGAGATCAACCTTTGTTGTAGTTTTTTTCTAACAAAATGACAATCAATATCTTTTTGTTTCATTCTCTCATGAAACATAAGATTGTTTGCCATGTGTATGGCTGCTTTATTATCACAAAACACCTTAACAGGTTCAATATTACAAAGATCTAAGTCTTTCATTAATCCTAATACCTAAATTATCTCTGAAACAACAACACTCAATACTTTATACTTAGCCCTTGCTAAGATTTTTGACACAATTCTTTGCTTGTTAGTCTTCCAAGAGTTTAAGGAGTCTCCCATCTTTAAAAATATAACCAGAAATTGATCTCCTTATTGTGTGACACGTAACCCAATCAGAGTCACAAAAACATCTTAATGTTGAATCTGCTTTCAAACCAAGTAGTATCCCCAATCTTGGTTTGTAAATTAGATACCTTAACATGTTCTTTGCTACAGCCATGTGGGTCTTTGTTAGATTTTGCATAAATGGGCTTAAATTTTGCATAGAAAAAAGATATGTCATGGTGAGTCATAGTCAAATAAATCAACTTACCTATTAATTTTCTGTATTCTCCAAGATCTTTCAGCAATTCCTCTTTCTTATTTCTGCCTTCTTCATAAGTTGAGAGTCTTAGGTTGGGAGCCATAGGTATCTTCAATGGCTTACACCCACTCATACTTGTCTCAAATAATAAATACAAAGCATATTTTCCCTAATTCATTATTATTCATTTTCTAGATCGGGCTATTTCTATTCCCAAAAAATATTTCAAAGCCTAAGGTCCTTTATCTTAAACTTATTATGCAAAAAATCCTTGGTTTGTTTAATACTAATCTCAGAACTACTAGTAATCACTAATCAATAAATCATTCACATACACAAGAATCAATACAATTCCATTATTAAAATGTTTGACAAACAGTGAGTAATCATGTAGGCTTTGATTAAAACCACCAAGTTTAAGTGCTTGTATCAGCTTATAATTCTATTGTCTTAAAGCCTATTTTGATTTATATAAAGACTTATTTAGTTTGTAGACTTTATTCTCCCCCTTACTATTAAGACCCTGTGGGATAATCATATAAACTTCCTCATCAAGATCTCCTTGTAAGAACATATTATAAACATCTATCTGATGTAAAACCTAGTTATGTTAAGTAGTTGAGGATAGTATGGTCCTGATAGTAATCATTTTTATAATAAGGGAAAAAGTTTCTTGATAATCTACCCTTTCCTTTTGACTATACCCCTTTTTTACCAATCTAGCCTTATATCGCTCAATATTTCCATTTGC